AAACATATGGAGTTCAAGAGGTAGTTCCTCAAAATATGGCACTTGGCATTTGAGAAAACAGCCAAGGCAGGAAGGTGCTTGAGTTTCCAAAGCACCCTTATTTGTAAGTGCTCAAAACAAACCCAAACAAAACAAATGTCCACCAAGAGGTGAAGAGATCAACAAAACGTGGTTCAACTCAGGTTTAGGATGTAGCACGTGGATACATAGGGCTAGGTCACAAACAAATATATGCAAAGGAGACACTTCAAATCATTATGTTAAATGAAAGTCTTCAGAGCGAAAAAGACCTACTGTATGATCCATGTGACAAGAAATGCAAATCAAAATCTTGCACAAAGTTTTAAAACCAGAAATTGTCCAATGACGTGAAAATCAGAATGCTCTGTTTTTTCCTCAATGTGGGGCATGCGATGACTTTTAAAAATCCTGTACAATCATTAGGGAAAGCCAGGCTCTAATGACTTATCTTGAATTGTTTAAGATGAACCCAGCAGCAAATGAATGTGCCTGTGTGAAACAACGTTATGGCTCCCAGGGAGCAAAGTGGAAGGAATGGTGCCGGGGATATTTGCTTGCATTGGGAGAGTTGTTTCTTTTAAATTAAAAACTCATCATCGTCTTGGAAAAGCCAATCTAAGTAGCATATGGGCGAGGTCCACCCTGGGAGCAAGGTAGTCTTTGCAAATAAACAATTTAAAGAAAGCTGTATGGCTGTGATCTAGAATTCCTCGAAGTGGCTTTCACCTTTCTACGGCCAAGGGAGATACCACCATCTGCCCAGCATTTTGCTATGAAAGAAGGTATGTGTAATAATATGTGGAAGGGCTTATGTGCCACAGAATACTTTGACATCTTTATAGTTAATTTTAATCAATGTATCATTCAAAATTATTAGGAAATTTCACTAGCAAAGCCCAGTATTGAACTAATTAATGAGAAAATTTAGAGAGAAACAAAAACCAAGAGGCAGAGCTCAAATCACTTCTTACTTCCTTTTTTTTAATATTTATTTTTTCTTTAGTTGTAGTTGGACACAATACTTTTATTTTATTTACTGTATGTGGTGCTGAGGATCGAACCCAGGGCCTTGCACGTGCTAGGTGAGCGCTCTACCACTGAGCCACAACCCCAGCCTGTGGACTCCGCTTTTAATGTGATACCACGTTCATGTTGATACCAATTAAATGTTCCCACCTACCACACCTCCAACTTCAGCACAAGACATAAAGGTGTTCCAAGTACATAAAATAATTGATAAAAATGTATTTTTTTATTTGAAAAATGTGCAGAACAATCACTGAGTACAGTTCTCAACCATAATGTTCAAACCCAGACACCACAAAAATCATTGGATGCTATGATTTCTGAAGCCACTAGAACTTTGGTACAACGAAAAAGTGACCTAACAGTGTTTGTCAGGAACCACAATTTATTCAGGGGCATAGAGAATGAAGACACCATGTTAAAATTTCAAGCTACATTCAAAGCATTAGACAAAACAGAGATCTGAATAGGAGATCCATGAAACAAACATGCTTAGCTTAAAAA